GGGTGCATCCCACTCAGACTCCGTAGCCGAAGCGGTGGAGCCATACGGACACATTCACACAGTCAGGCACTCTTCAGATTCAAACAGGTTGGACACCTTCCCCTTTGGATATCCCAGGCTAATGGGAGGCAATCAGTCTCCCCTTTTAGTCTCTATGAATAAGAGTGAGCTTCTATGGTTACAGGCAATGGGGGATGGTAACAGGGTATTTTCGCAGTCCCTCAAGGTCAGGCCACTTTCTTAATCTCTCAAGACCAAATGGCCCTTTTACTTGGAAGTATAATCTATGTGGAGGTATGTTAGGAGAGTGTTAAGTCATCTTGGGGGCTGTTTTTCTTTCTTTTTTATTTAAACAGGATCAGGCATCTGGTCTTTTTCTCCTTTTCTAAAGGTTTTCCTTCATAAACCTTCTACAACTTTCCTTTGCTTTCAGGTTCTGTTAAATATTTCTTACATATCATCCACCTCTCCACAGAGTTGCTTCCCCCATTCCCACCAGTCCTAGTTACACTTAGCATTTTGCACTCTTACACCTCAACCTCCAGCCAGTTATCAACCCACTGCGAACCGCCACAACAGAACTCCTGAGATGGCAAATCTATCAATCAGTCAAGCATAAAACATGCTTACCAACAGATTTCAAAAGCACAAACTTAGTTCCAGCAACCAGCGCTCTAGCATTTTATGCCATTTGGTTAAGACCCAGATGTCCATAATTTAATTCCATTTGTCATCCAAGCAAAACTTCAAACCCTCAGGCCACCAAAGACTCCGAAAGCTATCCCAGCAACCATCCACCAAAACTCTGAGACAGACAATTAACCACCAGGTTAGTCACCTCTTTGCCAACAAATCCCCACAAACAACCCAAGCTTATTTAACCTTAGCAAACCTTGAAGCTTCACATTTACTGCTGACAACTTCAAAGACATGTCTATCTTAATTAAACCAACAAACTTAATTCCAATACTGATTTACTTTCCACCTGGGCCCACTCCACTTTGAATGTTTACCTGAGATACGGGTGGGAAGGTCCGGAGTGGGGGGGTGTTAGGTCCAGGGGCTGTTCTTCTTGCTCCTTGACAGTGAAGAGAGAAGCAGCCATGGTGCATGATCTAGAGGCTAGTCATGCAGGCCGCACGCACACTGGTGCGGAAACACGAGAAGGGGGAAACAGGAAACAAAGTGCTGCCAGGAGGCAGAGAAAGGATTCCTGGTTTTAGAGCTCATAAGCCCCAACAGAGGAGCAGACGCCATGCTTTCCCACCAGCAATGGGAGAGGGGTTAAGCAGTCCAAGTCGGGCCAGAGAAGACAGGGAAACTTCCCCGAAACAAAGAGAGTTTCGGCAGCTGCTTGGGAATATTCCTTACGGTCTCTGTCTCGAGTTAGACTAACCCCAGTTGGCTCCAGTTATATCCGTTAACACAGGAAGTGAGTGAGGAAGAAGCCTCCACATCTATTAGGAGAAACAGAGAAATAAAGCCAGAGTCCCCTTTGCTAGGGATAGCCCAGCAACCTGGGTTTACTAGAAGGCGGCTTATTTACGTAATTATCATCCAATATGTCAGGAGGAAGTTTACTAGCTGACTCATTTGGGCAAACACATTCTGCAAAAGCCCCTTAGTTCGGGGTCCTGGTGCAGAACAATGAAGGCCTAGGTATGAGCAATGAAGGTATCCTAGGTCCATTTGCCCTGTTTCCCGCAGAGGAGATCTAACTGATAGTTCCCACTGAGGCCATGCAGTGTTACAGGAGCTCAGTCCTTTCCTAAGTTTTGCAATCCAAATTATTTCCAGTGGGTTAAAAGGCACCTTAAGGTAGAGTCCTTGGGAACCGAAGAAGCCTACTGAGGCGTGCTCCCAGAAAAGTAAAGAAGGTCCATTACCAAATCCCCCCCGACTCCTGGGTGGCATCCCACGCAGGATATGTCAGAGGTTCCCGTGTGTCAAAAGTGACCAGAGGCATCTCTCACACAAGCCATCGCTATTGATCACCATCCTGCCTTCCCCGAGAAGGCATTCCTGCCATAAAAGGCCCTGGAGGGGTGCCAGCGTCCCTCCCCTTCCCCATCGCATCCTAGGCTGCCGATGGGTGCCTGGTGAATGGACCAAAACACTTGTGCCATGCCATGCCATCGTCTGTCCTGAAGACTGCATACTGTTTTCCCATTTTAACCCATGGAAATATCAGAAAAGTTTGACAAGGAGAAATTACACAATTTCGTAGCTTTAAGTAGTTAGCAGAAAACACTGACAACAGTAAAGACTGAAATCCATCATGGTCTAAGTGACATTCCAACACATGTGGTCCTTACAGCCAACTTCCCTAGGAAACGGCCTCCGGTTGTGTTTTAATTCAATTGGGTACTGGTTTCATCCAGCTCCCAGCGGAGATCCCTCGGCCAGAAGTGGCTAGACCAGGGATGTGGAGGGGATCACCTTAGATCAATCAGGAGGAAACCTCACACGGGGGAGTCTTAAGATTGGCAGCCGTCCCAGTGACTTAGGTGGCTGCCCTGTGCCCAAGAGAGAAAACTTTATATCAGAACAGAAATAAAGAAAGGGTATCAATTTCTGGGTCTTATTGCCATTCTGGCCAGGGTACTAACTTACAGCCAAGAGGCAGACTCTCTCTTCCCCGTAGAGTAGCCATGAGCTAGAGGACTACAGCCTGACCAATTGACATGCAAGTGTTCCAGTAAGACCATACTCCTTGAAAAGCCCTGAAATGAGAGTAAAGGAAAAGGAGAGAAAGTACTCACCAATTTTGCACCGAAGCTCAGAGTCCAAATGTAAAGACTCACAGTCCCTTCATGGTCACCAAATGATGAAGTTCTTGAACCTAGGTGAGGTTCAAGGGGGTGAGGTTCGGAGCCGACGGCTAAGAAAGAATTCTTAAGACATCTTTGGTGCAAAAAGGTGGTTTATTAGAGCATGGGGACAGGACCCATGGGCAGACGGAGATGCTGCGCAGTTATCCTGAGGAGTGGCTGATTATATACACAGGAATGGGGTAGGTAAGGACAAAGAGGGTGATGTTAGTCTCTAAGGAATTTTGGAATCAAGGTCTCCAGGACCTGGAGGGACTAGCTATTGTTGGGAGAAAGGTTATTCATTACTAGTAGTAAAAATCTTCTTGTGAGACCCTTTAGATGTATTATCAGTGGGCCGTATGCTTGGGAATGATTCTCGACACTATCTTGTAGATCTAGAGATAAAGTTTCACATTTCTCCTATCAAGTGTCCTTGTTAGTGAGATTTGGGTTTAGAAGAAATTTAACTTTATTTAGGGTTTGAGGAACTGAGTTATTTCCTCTGGAAATTGTGCTGTTGTTAGATAGCTTCTTTGTTGTAAATCTCTAGGACATTGGTAAACCAAGGGAGACTTTGTCTTGCAGGATTGTGATCTCTGCAAGTTACCTATTTGTTTTTCTTTTAGGGCAGTCAAGGGTGCCTGAGGAATGTCACACAGTCACACACATTACCAAGGGGAGCGGGTGGAGAGAGGATGCAAGGTGCCAGCTTTTGCTTTGTCCTCAGCCAGCCTCTTCTTGCTCCCTCAACACAGTGAAGAAAAAACAGACAAGAGCCAATACCATCCTCCAGGTCCACCCTCCACTGCCACCACCAATCTCTGCCCAATGCGGAGATTCCTCAAGGCCTGAGAACATAGTGGCATTTTGTGTAAAGTCAGAGGGAAGAAAGCCAAATTTTATTGAGCACCTACTAAGCTCCAGGAACTGGACTACACAAGTTGTACTTCTGACACTTCATTCTCACACATGCAGAGATGAAGGAAGACAGGAGTTCTGCCATCTAGTTACCTTTCATCCAGGAACTTCCCGGAAGATGGAGGGCTGGAGCTGCAGGGACACGGCTCCCCACACCCTCCCTCACATGCCCCAGCCCTCAAGCCCAAGCCAGCCCCAGCTCCACACAACTCAGGGTGAAAGAGGAACAGGAAGGGGACCTTGGACTCAGACCTGGCCCAGCATGATTGGGCCAGAAAGCTTATCTCCCCTGAATGCAACCCCTGGATCCCCTGTTGGGAGGAGAAGGGATGGGAGGGGAAGGAATGACAAAGCACAGGGAAGGTTTTCCCGAATGACTCTGGAAGAACACCTGAAGACTCTCCAGGAAGAATACCAAACAGCGGGCTTCACTGCCCTCACCCTGCTCAGCAGGCTCAAATTCCAGCTGCTTTATCCACAAACACTGTTCATTGTCCATGAATGATTTTTCTTCCTCAAAATAAATTATGCTGATGGAAATAGGATTAATATTATACTTTCTACTTCCACAGCCATATAATACATCTTATGTTTAGTTCAAGTTAGTTTAGTTCAAGTTCTTTTGAGCAGTTCCAGAAAACATTCCATAAAACGTGGACTACGGTAAAATGAAGTTTGATTTCATAATGTGTCAGTTGGAGGAAAGGATTAAACCCACTTATGACAAACATCCAAACAAACAAAATTTAATTTAGGTTTGGTGGCTGGAGAACAGTCATTTTCTTTTACCAAGATCATGTCACCACGATTTTTCATGCTCTTTAATGAGATGTTCCTCTGCCAGATCATTTGAAGTAGCCAACACCTTTTCCATGTAGGTCAAGATTTATTAACTTGAATTCTAACAGTTCATAGATGGGCAGTTAGAGACCCTTCCTTAGTATTACAGCAGGTGGCAGAAGAGCACAAGTTTTTGGTTTCTCTTCCCAGAGCAGCCAGGATGGTTTAGGCCAGGCTCCATAGCAAAAACAAGTAGTGGGCTGGCAACTGACTAGGGGCGGGATATAGGAAGACCCTGGGCTTAGGGCGTGCCCCACACTTCAGGAGGATGATCCTCAAGCTCTAGAGTCCCATGGAGCTCAGAGTTCTCTTGCTGAACTCTTGGGGCAGACACTGCATAAAGTGTTTCTTCTACTCTGCCTCCTTCCCTTGCCTTTTCCTCCCCCCCCCCCCACCGCCACTGTCCCTGCCTGGTCACAGATGTCTTACCTCAGAGGATCCTGCTCTGTGGCTTCATAGGTAGGGGGTCCTCCAGCCACAGTCCACAGGGCCAAGTAGCCTTTCACTGACCGCTTTCCACCCCCACCTTCTTGGCCCCAGGAGTCACAGGTGAGCGTTACCACCACTATAAAAGCCAGGGTAACAGGCCCCACCAAGCTGCCTGGGCTCTGGTCTCCCTGAAAACCAATACATACCCTCTCAGATGTAATTATGAATGGATCTCTTTGGCATCTGGTGTGCTGTGCAGGGGAATCTTTTTTTGGGTTTTGGAATCCTACTAGTTTTAAACGGAAAGAGGGAGACAAATCTAAGAACTCATTCTGCCATGATGCTGACCTCACTCCTCCCGCCATGATGTTGACCTCACTCCTCCCAAGAATGATGGTTTTAACCATTCTTTCTGGAATCACATGGGCAGCTGGTCCACTAGTTTCAAAAGATTCCACTTTTTTGTGTGGATAATTCCTTTCATATCCATACCATCCTTTCCTCTCCATTTCAAAGGAAATATACCCATAGCCCATCTAAAAGGAATCCAGTGTCATAAAACCACAAGGTATACTGAAGGAGGAGATGAAAATGTCAGATATTATATTAACATACAGAATATTTAAAATGTATACAAAGATCCCAAATAGTATATTTATGACTTTATTGTTGGGGTAAACATTTTGATAAATTTGAGAATTCCTATATTAACGTTTCCCATGTACTGTGAGCAGTGTGGTGCCCTCTTCCAAGATAAAGTTCAGTTTAGATGTTTGTATCACTCAGTGTCCAGTCAGGAGGCAGAAACCACATCACTCATTTTAACATGAAAAATGTGATATAAAGAATTATTAAGCAAAGGTTTTAACTATGAAAGAAGTAAAAAAAAATCTCTAAGGAAACCAGAAGTAGGAGATAAAGAAGTAGACGCTACCCCTAAAAACAGAAGACATCTGAGAGAATAAGTCTGATGCTCTGTTATTAGAGAAGGTGGAACTGGGGTCCTCAGGTAGGGAAAGAAGTTCACCAACATGCCGCAGACCAAGGCTACTGGGCAGGAAAACTCTCACTAGAGAACTGGCGAGATTCCCTGGGAGGCAGCCTTCTATAACTGCTACAATATACAGTTGTAGCCTGCTACAATGCCATACCCATTTACTTAAAGGTGAGAGAAGCTAGGTCTTCTCCAGGCCACTGGCAGTAGCATTGTAAGATCAAGGGTTAAAAACACTGAAAGTGGGACATCTGGGTGGCTCAGTGGGTTAAGCATCTGACTTTGACTCAGGTCAGGATCCCAGAGTCCTGGGAGCAAATCCCGCATGGGGCTCCTTGCTCAGTGGGGAGCCTGCTTTTCCCTCTGCCTGCCACTCCCCCTGCTTATGCTTGCTCACTCTCTCTCTCTGTCTCTGACAAGTAAATAAATAAAATCTCTTTGAAAACACAGCAAAAGAAGAAGAAAGCTTTTCCCCCAGCTATGTCTTGCTGTATTCCCTCTGGTGCCCTCTAGGAATTCACAGTGCTGAGACAGACAAAATCTGACTTGTATATGCCTCCGTGGGTGAAACCAACTGAAAAACAAAGGAGGCCAGAACACTGGCCTCCTTTGAAGATCCCTGACTGAAAGAGGCCAGATTCTTACTACAGCTCAAGGTTCTCATGTAGGGAGTAAATGTTTAAATTTCAAGGACAAACAGGGACATGTGGTGCTCATGTACTTCATAAACTCCTAGACTCCTTGCCCTTACCACACACGGCCCCACTTATTACTATCCTGACCATTAAGGCTACACTTTCCTCCTTGCTTTGTGCTTCTGCTTGGTGTATTGATATGAACCCAATGAAAGTGGGGACAAAGCTTGGCACGCGGCCTTTTACCACTGTAGCTTCTAATTGTTGGGGTCCGTTATCAAAGGAATGAGACTGAGACAAAGTGAAAGTTATGCAAAGCCTTATTCTATGCCAAGCATTAGAAGTTAGACTGACCGGCCAGAGGAACAAGACTGAGACAAAGTGAAAGTTATGTGAAGCTTTATTCTATGCCAAGCATTAGAAGTCAAACTGACCAGCCAGGGCCGCATCTGAAGAGAGTGACCCCCTCCTGATCTCACAGGCTGGTTTTATACGGCATACCCGCAGACCCAAGGTACGTGGCTTCTATTGTTAAGGCGTTTACTCCCAGAATCGATACCCGAAACCATACCAGGAACTACTGGGGTGTTTATTCCCGGAATGAAGTCCATGGATATAAACAACAATATGGCTACCTAGGCAATATGGAGTTGCTCTGGCTAAGCAGGCCCTAATAGTTAAACAGGTTTTAACATTAAATTGGCCCTACCACTAATCACCATGCCTCTCTTTTCTCCTACAAAGGTGTCTGGAGTAATCTTTTTATTCGCCATCTCGGGTTTGCCAGCCAAACCTCACAGTGCACTGACTGACAAAGGCTGTGCCAAGTGTGCCACATAGCAGAAATGAAACGTTTATGACATCCAGTGTCAACAAGAAGGGCACATAGAGGGTAGATTTTAATCAAAAAGCAAAGAATGGGTAATGGGCAGATTTCACACCTCTAGATCCTGAGCTTCCCTATACACCATTTTACTCATATTGGAACTTCCATATAACAACACAACAACTCCATCTTTTCACCCATCTACATGGCTACACCTACAAATGAAAAGCTTTTCACTCTTTCCCCAAAATGGAAAAGACAGGCAGTCCCAAGCATTGAATTGAACATTTATATTTAGTTTCTTCAGTCCAGCCACAATCATTTGACTATTCTGTTACCTAGAGATTATATTTGAAATATTGTCATGGACAACTTGCATAAAATCACACTGGTAGGAAGAAGGAAGAAAGAAAATACTTAATACAAACGACATGACAAGAAACAAAAAATATACAAAACTACCACAGTCCTTCTCCTACTTTTGGTTACAGGCAGGAACCGAGATCTGTGACTTCCTTCTTCTATGTCTGATTCTGTGTATTCTCATCTCTCCCAGAAACACAGCAGGTCAGAGTTCTGTACCTTGGAAGTGGACACACATTCATTCCTAAAGGTCTGCGTCCTCAAAAGTTTGGCTTCCTTGTGTTTCCTGTGGGTTCCATCCACCTTTACAATTGACTAGAAGTGGGTGGCTCAGTGGGTTAAAGCCTCTGCCTTCAGCTCAGGTCATGATCTCAGGGTCCTGGGATCGAGTCCCACATCGGGCTCTCTGCTCAACAGGGAGCCTGCTTCTTCCTCTCTCTGCCTATTTCTGATCTGTCTCTGTCAAAGAAATAAAAAAAAATCTTCAAAAAAAAAATCTTAAAAAAAAAAAATTGGACTAGAAGTACTGAGAAGCCGTACATAAATCCTGGAACTGTGCTCATGGTCAAAGCTTTCTACAATTCATCCAGGTTCTGAAAACACTCATCTTCATTTACCTCTTTATTCTGGTAGCAGTTCTGTTCTATCCAACTGCTGTTGACTCATAAGGGAACCCAAATTTTCATCTTCCTATCCCTGAATTAATGCAGCACTAGTATTTCAGAAAGAACAGATATTTACTAAGGTTCATTAAGATAAGTAGGTCTCGTGGTGCCTGAGTGGCTCAGTTGGTTGGGCGTCTGCCTCCGGCTCAGGTCATGATCCCCCGGTCCTGGGACTGAGACCCACATTGGACTTCCTGCTCAGTGGCAGACCTGCTTCTCCCTCTCCCTCTGCTCCTCTTCTGACACATGCTCTCTTAAAAAAAAAAAAAAAAAAAAAAAAAAAAAAAAAAAAAGATAAGTAGGTGTCCTCCATCCCAGAATAGGAAAGATATACAAAAGAATATTACTCTCCACTCCTCTCAAAGTACATCAGCCACACATTTCTTCAGAAATGTTTAGATAGACAACATCTCTAGTCAGACTGCACATTTCCTAAAATAAAAGCTTGTGACTCACTCATACCCTCTGGGTTCATCTGCACAACACATACTGCATAAAATAAACAACATTTAATTCTTCAGAGTAATTCAGACCTCATCGCATTTCATATCAAGACAATGCAAAAATTCCATGAAGTAATTTTCCTGACTAAAAGAATCATGACTTCCAGTAGCAAAATTCAGCCTATCCGGTATTAGCTCAAACACTCAACATTTATCTTTTGATACCTGAGCATAGGCATGAACTGACTATTCTCATAACCACACCCCAGCAGTCTACACCCAGAAGAGAAGGGCAAGACACCAGGTCTTCCAGGACTAACTTCAGAGCCTATAACCTCAGGGATTCTGCAGCTCCAAGAAGAGCAACCATGAGGAATCTGGAACCCTTTTGGGAACCTATGGGGACATAGCTTTATGCCCGCAGGGGAGTAATGAGGATTCAGCCCCTGGGAGAGCACCATCAACACCTGAACTGAACCCCTGCTCTGAGAGGCTCACAGGCTACTCTGAGGAACAAAGAGGGTTGTTAAGGGGTACAGGGGTCTGCACAGGCCTGCCCACCCCAGAGCAGATGGGCAGGGATACATCTCCTGACCTCAACCTGAAGTATGGAAACAGAGTCCCAGACGCTAGTGGGAAGGAGAAAATGTGGGAGCCATCAGTCATGTTGTAGAATGAGATAGCCCCTTCCTTCAGGTCCAGGAAAACCCCTACCCTGTGGGGAATTGGCACAAGGAGTCCTGAATTATCAGGCAGGGAATGGAGTTTATGTTCATATATCCCCACAACCCAGAACCCCTTTTCTGGGGATTCCTTGTATGAGCCCTTCCTCTCCACATCTCTCCTACAGACCCCCAGAGCCCACTCACTTCTCCATTCCTGATCTCCACCACCCAGTAACAGCGCCCTGATTGATGCCCTCCTGAACTAAGATGCTACACTGTTTTTCTGGGTCCTTAGTTGTATACTTCCAGGTCACACAAGACTTTTCATCAGAAACAGCCAGGTTTGGATCTGTAGACCCTGGATCCAGAGTGACAGACACTGCAGAGAGAATTGCCAATCATTTGAGGTCTCCCCTTTCCCTATAATAAAGCACACATCAACCACCCCCACCACCAGACCCCTAGATGCATGTGGGTAGGGTTAAACCTCCTGAGATTAGAATTTTGTGACTCAAGCACACACCCCACCAACCAGGAGAAGTAACTAAAGACTGATCCGGGAGGACAAGACTGGACTCCAACACTGAAGGGTATCTCTTTAGCATCTGAAATCATCCACATCCACCAACCCACCTACGTGACTTTCACCACCCCATCTGCATCTGCCACCACTGACAGGGCCAACATCTGTGTCACCACAGCAAGCTGAGGAGAGGTAAGCCACCCTGGAGCAGCAGGAGGACCCAGAAAGAACTCAAAGTAACTCACAAGGCAGGAATGTCTCCTTCCACCAATCTACAAAAGAACTACATGTTTCTTGTTAAGGCTTTGAGAAGTCTGAACACATTGGTGTCTATATCTAGTCTTCTGAAATACACTGATGCAGGAGTTACAGGAAAATATCTTTTGGAAACATTCCCTGATGCATTTCTCTCTCTCTCTCTCTCACACACACACACGCACACACCCACCCACCCACCCACTTATACACACACACACACCACACGGCCATCATGCTATATAGCCTTCCCATAAAAGCCAAGCCATAAAGCTTAACACCACTGAGAGGCTGTATAACAACCTGAAAAGAAGAATCTATGCCCAGGTTCCACTCAAATTATGTTTTCTCAATCCTTAGCCACATATCCATCATCAAAGCTAGGTTTTCTTAAAAAGAATGGGGGAGATCAAAATACAAGTACACAAGGCATACTTTAAAACACATAAGGGAGTTGAGGGAAATTGGAAGCGGAGGTGAACCACGAGAGACTATGGACTCTGAAAAACAACCTGAGGGCTTTGAAGGGGCGGGGGGGGGGGAGGGGGGAGGTTGGGGGAGCCAGGTGGTGGGCATTAAGGAGGACACGTATTGCATAGTGCATTGGGTGTGGTGCAAAAACAATGAATACTGTTATGCTGAAAAGAAATTAAAAAAAAAAAAAAAAAAAGAAAAGAAAAGGAAAAAAATAAATAAAACACATACTTTAAAGTAATGACATCTGCAACAGTCAGTTAAGCATCTGGCTCCTGATTTGGGCTCAGGTCATAATCTCAGAGTGGTTGGATCCAGATCCCTATCAGGCTCCAGATTCAGCATGGAATCTGCTTGAGATTTTCAACCCTCCATCTGCTCCAATGGCTCTAAATACATAAATAAATTTAAAAAATCTTTTTTTTTTTAAAGATTCTATATATTTGAGAGAGAGAAAGAGATAGTGAGAGACAGCAAGAGCAGGGAGTAGAGGGAGCAGTGTCCCCACTGAGTAGGGAGCCCAATGTGGGGCTCAACAGAAGGACCCTGGGGTCATGACCTGACCCAAAGGCAGCTGCTTAAGAAACTGAGCAACCCAGGAGCCCCTACAATCTTTTTTTTTTTTAATTCAAGAAAAAAATAGCCAAACTGTGAAAGTAGCCAACATGTCCTTCAACAGATGAATATATAAAGCAGATATGGTTCATATATACAATGAAATATTATTCGGCCATCAGAAAGGATGAATACCCACAATTTGCATTGACCTGGATGGAACTGGAGGGGATTATGCTAACTGAAATAAGTCAAGCAGACAAAGATCATATGGTTTCACTCATATGTGCAACGTAAGGAATAGTATGGGAGACATTAGGGGAAGGAAGGGAAAACTGAAGAGTGGGGGGAATAAGAGAGGGAGATAAACTATGAGAGACTATGGACAGCAAGAAACTATCTGAGCATTTCAGAAGGGTGGGGGCGGGAGGATGGGATAGCCTGGTAATAGGTATTAAGGAAGGGATGTGTTGTGATGAGTACTGGGTGTTAAATGCAGATAATGAATCATGGAACACTAAACTAATGATGTACTGTATGATGACTAACATAACATAATAAAAATATTTTACTAGTATGTTTCATGGGAAAAAATATTTTATAAATAATTATATCATTGCACATCAATTCAGCAGAGAAGGGGAAATGCTAAATATGATTATTTGATCATCATTTTTCACATACATTCGAAGAAAAACAGCTTAAAACAAGTATAAGTCCTCTCAGAAATCTCTCAAACAGGTATCAGGAGTTTATTACTTTTCATAATGCAAATAACTTGCACACCCTTTTGTATACTGCCTCTTGTATACATCTACTGTGGTAGAAGTGAGACCACAGACTTGTGCCATAAAGCTTAACACCACTGAGAGGCTGTATAACAACCTGAAAAGAAGAATCTATGCCCAGGTTCCACTGCTTTTTCTCTAGAAGTTTTAATCTTTTAAAAAAGTTTTAAAAGTTTTAAAAGAAGTTTTAAAAAAAAGTTTTAAATTGTCAATGCA